TCAGGTGGATTCAAAAAAAAGGAGGAGGAATTTCTTCCATTTTCTGGTGGATTCCTCTCATCCACTGATGAGGACCGTATCAATCGACAGTGTCTACTTTTTAAACTTTTTTACCCCCTGTTTTTGGTGGCTTTAAGAATTTAAGAAATGTTTTTTTTTTTTTTGTTTTTGTTTTTTTTTTTTTTTTTTTTAAATTTTTTTTAATTTTTTTTTTTTTTTTTTTTTTTTTTTTTTTTTTTTTTTTTTCCTTTTGGTGCCACTGAGAAATGAACTATTATGTTCTGTGTCTTCTGTTGGACATGCATGCTACCGTCTTCACCCGAATAGAACGCCCGGTCACTATATCTGCATTTGGCCCAAGTTTCAATACACATGCAGAGTTAATGACCGGGCGTTCTGTCCGGGTGAAGGCCGTAATCATTCACCCGGATAGAACACGCAGGCTAGCTATATTTGGAGCAACTCTTTTTTTTTTTTTTTTTTTTGGGAATTTAGCGCAACTTTCACTCCACATGCAGTAATAATGGTCGGGCGTTCTATTCGGGTTAAGGCGGTATTTAAGATGACCATCAGACTTAAACCACAAGTACAGCGCCCAGGCAAAAGAAATTCATCATTGAAAACGACTCATTCCAAAAAGATCGGGGGTCGGGACACGGTGCCGGCACGACTGGGCAGTAAGGTGATGTTCAAACCAGGAAAATAAAAAAAAAAGAAGCAACCGCAAAGAGAGGAACGACGCCCAGGAAGGGAAGGGCGTGAAGGACGTGTGCTCACACTAGTGCACTCAGGAATGAATCTACCTGCAAACATGGCCAGTATTAGCTTTTGTTGCTTTTGTTGTTTTTTTTCTCCTTTTGTTTTCTTTTTGTTGCCGTGCCAGCGAGGCAGGACGCACTGCATGGACTGCTGGCACTTTGTCCAAAAAGGGCATATACTCCAGATTCTGTATCTAACGGCTTTCACGTCCGTATTATTGTTGCTTTTTTTGAATTTTTTTCTGTTTTTTTTTTCATTTCTGAAAGTACTCCCGTGATGAACGTGTAGCTGCAACGGCCCTCACTGAGGGCATACTCCCATACTGATCCCATACTCTGAATCCGACTGCTTGCTCGTCCCTAGGGTGGTTGCATTTTTTCTTTTCTTGTTTCTTTTTTTTTTTTTTACGTCGTTCATTTCGTCGGAGCACCAAAACGAAACCAGAACGAGACCCAGGCTTGGCAAAACGCAGCACGCAGTGAAATTCGGGTTCGTTTAAATCAGGTGCGGGTGTACTTGTGGTTTAAACATGAAAATTAATTAATCTAGTTTGAGTACTCTGTGCTACAGACCACCCCCCTCGCACTGCTCAGGATGAGCATCAGACTTTTTCAACACCACATATTCTCTCTGTGCTACAGACCATCTCCGAGGGGTGGGCCCCA